AACCGCTTAGAGAGGGCTGAAAGCCCTATGAAGCGGTATATAAGTCTAACTGCTATTGCTATTAATATCTGGAGTATAAGGTATCATCGAAAGCACCTCTTCTATTAGATTAACATAATATAAACTAAGAGTCAAATATTGCTTTGACATTTGCCAAAACAATGTCTAGTTTGCTGACCCCAGGGAGGCTATTTGATTAAATAAATATGATGCCTGTGTCTCTCTGCTTGGCAAATGTACAGAGGGAAATCTAACATTAAATTGCAACGTGTACCATGAACAGACATTCTCATTGGGAAAAGCCACTGAATGTCAACAAGTTTCTTACTTTTTCTCCCCATCGCTCGCGGCTTAGAGAAAGATTCTGCAGCTCCCGACCAATTTCCATCAGCAGGCATAGACAATGGGCGAGGCTTTCCTAAAAACCAGAGATAGTGTTACTACAAAGATACTATTAAGTTATGTGTAGGTTCTTGGTGCTCTTTCAGCTTGGTTGTTTTATTGCAGACATTTAATTACCAGGCTAGGTAACATCATCAATGTAAGAGGGGGATATTTTTGCCTTGATGGTAACAAGAACCCAGTACTTCAACCCTGAGCTACATATACTCTCCTCCATGTGATCTGTGTGATGGCAATTATTGTGAGAAGACAACTTTAAACAAGTTCATCTAAGGCCAGCAGCTCCCATCAAGAGACCACTGGATTCTCACAAGCAAGACCTCTTTACGTCCTAATATCTAAAGCTAGACTATTTCAGTATATGGGAAGTTTATATAAGTTAACAAAATTCAGGTGTTGATTTACTAATCATTAATAATCTGCAGATGAACTGATAATTATTTTTTCATTTATTACATTAATTTGTATGCTATCCTAGTTAGCCTACAGCAAATAACATTATAAAAATACATTAAAACCCATTATGCCTACCAGTCCCTCAGGTACCACAGCTTGAAATAATTCCCAGATCTGAAAAATCCCATGCATTTATCCCATGAAAAATCTAGTTAGAGCAGTCTGCAGGAGAGTTGTCCAGTCTATTCTTGTCCAACAGGGAGCAGCTGACCTTAAACATGAATTTCTATGCATGCAGTAAGTGTGGAGAAGTGTGACTTTCATCATTCTTATCACCATAGTGTAGACCTAAATAAGGGCATGCACTTGTATTGAATTATTTTCATTCTTCACCTTCTGCCACCATTACTGTATGTCTCCCTGCAGTTGTTCTGTTTCTCACAATTCCTTGGAAAGCACTCATTCCACTCTATTTCCATATTCCTGGACTTGTGTGGCACAACTGATTGTCTTCCAAGGTGAGTAAAATGAGGACCCAGATTGTTGGGGACAATATGCTGACTCTGTAAACCGCTTAGAGAAGGCTGTAAAGCACTATGAAGCGGTATATAAGTCTTAAGTGCTATTGCTACTAAAGGATCCAGGCATCTGAGATGGACCACCTTAACTGATCCTCTACTTTTATCTCTTTGGCAGAGGGTGAGAACGGAACTAATTATTTAGAGTTAAATTTCAGCAACACATGATTTTGCAGGTCTATTCAGAAACAGCTTGATATTAATAGGTTAATATGGGAATTGTTCCTATGTCAGTGAGTATAAGACGGCAGGGAAAAGTTATAAACTCCAGATACATAGCAGAGCTTACCATATTTTTCAGATTAGATGCATCTCCCTCCCCCCTTAAATGTGGGAGAAAATTATGGTGCATCTAATAGACTGAATATGGGCACTTTTGGCCTCCCAATCCCTCCGTACATCGCTTTTTCATCCTCCCCGGCCCCCAAAAGCACTCTGCAGTGTTCCGTATATCCCATTTTTGCCAAAAACTGGCATGTTTTCTCCAAAAATGGGCCTGTTTTTTAGACTCCTAAGCCCTCTGTGCATTGTGTTTCTGTCTTTCCAGGCCCCCAGAGGCATTCTGCAGTCCAAAAACGCTTTTGGCGAAAATGGGTCATGCAGAGCACTGCTGAGTGCTTCTGGGGGCCAGGGAGGGTGAAAACACGACACACAGAGACAAAAAACTATTTTTTTCTTGTTTTCCTCCTGTAAATTTAGGTGTGTCTTATAGTCCGATGCGTCTTATAGTCTGAAAAATACGGTATATTTTAAAAACATTTTAAGTAATTTCATAATTTTTCATAATACAGTATTTCTATCAGTTACAGATTCTCTATGTTTGAGTTTTCTAAAAAGGAAGAGTTTTTTAAAGAGTTTTTTTTTTCAAAGGTGTGGGTTAAACCTTCGGAAGAAGAAAAACCAAATATAGCCTCACGGTGTTCTCACCATAAGATGGAGTTTTCTCCCTCATCTTTGCTAGTGGAATATTTGTTTCTCTGGGATAGGCAGGCAATGGATCAGAATCTATCAGGGTAAACCTTCGTCTTCTACATTCCTGATCAAGGAAAGAATTGGGAGATTCTGCACCTTTAGAACCAGGGAGAGGCTGTCTGGGTTTATTGCCTCCTCCATAAATGAAGTTCCCCTTCTCGTCCCTGAAAAGATATGAGATTTAATTAGCAACATAAACAAAGGGCCTGAAACCCTGAACAATTCTAAGGCTATTCAGTTGCTACCTGAGAGATAGTGAAAAGCGTAAACACAGAAGGAAAACAAAAGGAACTCGGAGTTTATATGCCTGCTGCAATTTTGCAAGTTGCAGGGAAAAGTAGAAAATGTGGGACAGCCCCAGAATTAAATTTTCTTCTTTTCTGTTTTCTTTATAAAGTCCCATGATTTTACGGTGCAAGCAACAGCATGTTTAAAGATAACTCAGATATTATCACATAGTACTCAGACAGGCGGCTGAATAAATCTCTGCGATCAAAAGAATGGCCTAAGTATTCTGCAATTCAATTGTTCTTCCGTAATATTGGCAGCAACTCAATAAATCATGCAAGAGACCTGACTCATAATTTTTCAATAAATTACACAATGAGCACACCTATATATCATTTCCTAATTTATACAGAGCAGAAGAACTAAACTTTTACCTTCCTTTAGTGTTCTATTAATGTTATATAAGATTTTTTTTAAAACAAGGGAATTACTGGTTAGTACTGTCAAATATTACAAGGATTTTTTTTTAAATAAAACTTTTATTCTTTTTATAGGAAAACTTGCTGTGCACTTTTTCATCAGTATCCCTCAGAGTTCTATTTGTGATGGATGCATTATTTGGAAACTGACAGTATCTTCAAGGTAGCTTACTTTTTCCTTTTACAATATGTAAAAATACCAGTATTCAAAACCAATTAAAATTACATCCCAAGCTAGCAAATTTAAGTAATAAATAAAAAGTTGAAAAGGAAAGACAGAATGATTTGTTATCAAAAGCTGGAAAGAATGAAACTGTTTCAACAAATCATTTAGAGATGTCATAGAACTACTCCATAAGATTGATTCTGACATCTTACATTTATTTTAAGCTGAACATCCAGGTGAGAATATCCATATGCAGAGTAAAACAATACTTAAAGAACAATTTGCTTCTGGGGACATAAATGATTGAACTAGATCTCTCACCCTCCCACTCATGTGACAGAAATGTTTTGGCAAATCTCTGAATAGTAGAATCTGAATGGAGTGTTCAACATGTAGATTTTTTTATCCAAAGCAAAAGATTCCAATTGAAGCTTTACCATGTTGCAAGTGTTGTGCATGAATATGTGCTTAATGTAAATCTCCACACTAACATCAGAAGACAATTATCCTTTTTCACTTTTAAGTGACTTTGGCATGGCTATTTTGGCTTCCAATTCACAGTCTTAGCATACAGCATTCTCTATCTCAGAGGCATCTGGAAGGTGGGTAAGTCAAGATGGCAGGTACCCATGTGATCAAAACTCCACCCCCAGAATAGAAGTGGGACCTTCTGACAGTCTTCCCAATAAACTAGACAGGAAACACACCCTGATGATTTGATTCTACTTTATTGTAAGACTACATTAAGAGAATCCAGCAAGTCTAAAAGTACAAACTACCCATTGCCACTTTTAACTGTTTGATCCATTAGACTGGGTTCTCCCTAAGTTTTTCTCTGACCATTAAGTCAATGGGGGCTCCTCCCTCTCTTGTCTGATTATTTCCTAGGCAAGACTTCTTCCCCCTTGTATCTCAAGGTCATCTACACATTCCACTACACCATCTTTTCTGCAATCATGCTCACATCTTGGCTTTCTGACATGCCCCAAGAATGCCCTTCCTGCTTTTTTCTTCATTCTGAAAAGCAAAACCAACGTTAGCTCTAAACGTAAGCTATTTAAAACATTTACGAGAGATGCACAGACATTTGCATCTCTTTTTATTTCCACATGCTTTTTTTATTTGAGTATAAATAAATGTGGCCTCCGCTAAATATCTACTGCAATCAAGCCACTGTGAATGCTCACGTCCTTTGAACCTAGATGAAGCAACTTTAAGTCATTTCAACTGCTTAAAGTTATTTCAGCACACCAACTTGGATTCAAAAGATTTAGAGCAGAGGTCTTCAAACTTGGCAACTTTAAGACTTGTGGACTTCAACTCCCAGAATTCTCCAGCTAGTTATGCTGGCAGGAAAAATCTGGGAATTAAAGTCCATAAGTCTTAAAGTTGCCAAGTTTAGGGACCCCTGATTTAGAGGCACAACCATTTAGAAAAGAGAAATAAAAACATCTAGTGCTAGACAGGAACCTTTTAGGAAGCAGAGATACATAATGGACAAAATGTAGGAGTTTTGCCAAGCACTACCCCTAACCAAATTATACATCTTCTAGTAAAATTTTTCTAGTAGTTTCTTTTTGTAGTAAAAACCTGTGCTCTATAATTCTATTGACAAATATTTTTTCAGCCAACAGAAAATAACACTGCCGTACATTTAAGAGTTCAAAACTCTATGAAATACAAAGTAAATCCCATTACAACAAAGTAATTCATCTGGAAAATGAATGCCAAATAGCCAGATAATAATGAGTGGCTCTTTTAAGTAATATGTAGCTGTTGGCATACCGAGGTGCGTAGGGAACAGCTGGTGGTGGAGGTATGTAAAGATCCAGAATGGCTGGTTTCTCTTTCTTTAGTGATGTCTCCTTGGTGTTTTCTGATGATTGAGTTGGGTGTAGGCTGGTCTACAGGGAGAAGATACAACAGTTCTTAAGTCATTTTAAAACTACAAATGCAGTCAGGCCAGTTTCTCTACCATATGCTTACGTTATTCTCCATTCCTCATTTTTATCTGATTATCTGGAAACTGGAAACGACGATTACTTTAAATACTTTATTTTAGGATAATTATTCTTGGAATGTTATCATATGCTAACTAGCTAGGGTTGTTGACAATAAAGACATGAACAATGTTTTAAAAATAAATACTCTGTCCCACACACAGGTGCCTTTCATTTTTTGTGTTCTATCATGTTGGACTTAGGTTTGGCCAAAGTCTTTAAGCCAAACAGAAGTACAGAAGCATTTTTAGGAATACAGAATTGCTTTAAAACATTAGGCACAAATTAAGAATTAAACATTGGGCAGAAATTCAGGTTTACCCTGCTAGAGACAGATGCTATCTATGGAAGGTTTAAGATTGTTCATCAACATGGAAGCCATTTCCCCAATATGATCTTTCCCCAAACCTCCTCAAGCATTCAAGTGATTAATCTCATAGGGTAATTCAGTTAGATTCTAAGTATTTCCCCTATATATGGTTCAGATTCTAAATAACTTGCAGAAGAGTATAGATTTTGTTACACTTATATAGCATGAATTAATATTGTAAAAAGAAAACCAAGATATTGTTTTTTAATTTTAAAGGCGCACTGTTTTCCTCAGTGGATTCTTTCTTAGAGATATTGAATTCCCCCTTCCCTTGCCATTATCTGCTTAGACCCCAAAGAAATTCTCTTTGAAAAGATTTTAATCCCTGTATCTTCCACACCCTTTTCCCCTCCCAGGTTACACAATGCCTCCAGTTTTGCTAATATCAGCAATTGGCACTTCAAGGGGGAACAGCATAATTCAGCATAACAGCATAATTCAGAGAGGCTAATAAAGATTAATCTTTGACAAATGCAATATTTGGTCACAATTTTTCTACTCTCCAACTATCCACAGTTATTTCCTGAATTCAACTTTTGCAAAGGAGTATAAACAATTCAGCTCAAATAGCCTTTTAGATATCCACCCCAGTTAAGAATGTTCTGGGAGTCAAGGGAAAAAATTATTCTTCCCTATTTTTTTTAATTTCTTTTGTGCAGTAAAATAAGATTATTATAAAAGGAGACTTCACAAATTCATTTAAATTTTTAAAAAACGCTGAAAAACTATTTTAATAAAATCAGCCATTATGACCTACCAATTATTAAATTTGTTTTATAAACATACATATGTTTATTTATAAACATACACACACTTACTACTAATTATACTAATGATACTAATATATCTCAGTACATTTCAGACCTTTTCACTGGCTCTCTTGGAGATTTTGTATTTTTTGTTGATTTTCTTGCTTTAAAAAAAAAATTATTAGCCACCCAGATTTGTTTAAAACGGACAATCGCATTAAGTAAATAAATACCTCAACCTATCTAAAGGAACTGTTTAGATGTACTATTTTTGCTTTAGTTATCTTAGAATTAATATGTATTTACTGCATTTTGAGCTAATTTGACCGGGTTGATTTGTATTTACTATATTGTGTTTTTTATACTGTGATTTTTAAAAAAAACATGTGTTTTTTAAAAAATCATCTTCTTAGCTTAATTGAAAAATTCTGTTATGAGCTAATGACGCTGTAAAATGTTTCAATCGCAGAGCCTGCTTCATTTCCACCTCCCATTATAATCTATAACAACCAAGTTTACACCTTTAAGTGTGCTATCATTCGAGTTGACTCCTTTTCTTCCTTTCATTTTCTGAAATCAACGTTGGAACATTTTAAGTAGTTCCTGAGTCCCTCCTGGAGAAGGGCGGCATACAAATAAACCAAATACAATAAACCAAATACAAAGAAAATAGGGGAAGAGAGATGTAAGCAATTCAAAACTGTCTTTTGCAAGACAGTCCTTTCTGCAGGAATGTATGTAGATGAAAGATCACAGAGTCAAATGCCAATGATTAAAAGATTTTTAAAAAAAACAATCCCCAAAACTGCATACAGGAAACTGGAATATAAGAATGACAGCTACTCTAAAATCTTAGTTTCTGACATCCTAATTTTTCACATTATGAGAAGCTATCTTTTTGTTTTTGTTTTTTGTTTTAAATAGAAGATCACCGGATACCAAACAACTTCAACCAGTAGCAGTATGAAAAATAACAATTCAACAAGGACTCTATCTAGTGCTTATTTTGCATGGTTAAATGGATCACAAAAAAGTACATATGTTTTCCAATATGAAAACTGCATTTATGATAACATTTCTATCCCACCCTAGCTTTGTAAAATCCAAAGTAGTTTGCATAATAGCAAAATTTAATTAAAAAGTTCTGTCACACATAACCAATTATGGAGACAAAATATACATATTCAGTAAATAAATAAATAAATATATATAAAGGGGAAAAAACTTCATATTACCTGTACAAGTGGTGGTTTCCACCTCAGATTTTTAAGCGGCGCAGGGGTAAAATTAAAAGACCCTGTATGGCGTTTCTTTACTAGGAGAGTAACTCCAGAAGGATTCTCACGGAGCTTCCTTACGAGATTTTTCAACTGCCACCCCACCTTTTAAATACACAACATATAAATCATTTCATTAAATCCAATTTAAGAAATGAATTCAAAATAAGGGCATCTTCAATACATCAGAAGAAAGTCAAAATGTTTTCCATTGCTATGGTTTGTGATTTTTTTTATTTTTGCATGCTTTCAAGAGTGTAAGTAAAAAGTCTTGATGGATACACTCTTCTTCTTTGACATGAAACAGTTATGGACAAATAGGATATCACTAATCTTAGGTATATTGTTTCTGTGAATCCCTTGGATGTCAAATGTCGAATAGCTTTAGAGGAAGAACCATTGTGGAATAAATAATGTATCTACGGGATCTACGTCACCCCAAGTAGGTAGATATGGTTAATTCATGTGGAAGATGAAGTGTTACACCAATAAACTCTCTCCAGCTTTCTTGAGGATATTAAGTATTTTTCTGTTAACAGACCACTTCCATTAGTTCTATAAACTTTCAATCCACTTGGACATTTTAAGAGCAAAAATAACTAGCCAATGCAAGAATTAATTTTGTCTTTTTTTAACCACTAACCATAACACTTTGATTTTTCTTTTTTTGCTTTTTGGCAGAGACTATGATTACTGTTAAGTTAGGGAAGGCAAATAATAAACAGGAACAAATTATCCTATCCTAGGGCAAAAAAGAAATAGCAATAGCAATAGCAGTAGACTTATATACCGCTTCATAGGGCTTTCAGTCCTCTCTAAGCGGTTTACAGAGAGTCAGCATATTGCCCCCAACAATCTGGGTTCTCATTTTACCCACCTCGGAAGGATGGAAGGCTGAGTCAACCCTGAGCCGGTGAGATTTGAGCCGCTGAACTGCTGATCTAGCAGTAGCCTGCAGTGCTGCATTTAACCACTGCGCCACCTTGGCTCAATAGCGATGGGGATGATGATGATGGCCATTAAACCTGAATACAATTTCAAAATGGAAACTGCCACCCAAATTCCTGTTCCTCCAAAGCTCTCTGTACGTCCTTGGTTACGATGGAAAGGCACAAAGCCTTTTTTACTTAACTAGCCAAGAATATAATATTTAGTGTATGTGCTGCTTGACTATATTGCTCAAAACTTTTAAGCTGGCAGACAACTAGCAAAGCACAAAATCACATAAGGCAGAGAGAAACTGTAAAGCAATAAATAAAAATCCTTTCTTTGAAGTGGAAATATTTCCCATAATAAAATGCTAATTCTGCTAAATAGAGATGCATTTGTTTATACAGTTTAGTATTCATCATAATTGTAATGATTTGTAATTGTAAAGATGCCAGAGGCTGCATTCATGGACATTTACAACATTCCTTGCATAATGATCTTAGACATTTCGCTTGGATAAATTCATAAAACACTTAATAATCCATGAAATGTTCTCAGCAGCCAACAGTAAGTTTGTCAATCAGAAAGGTCGGCAGTTCGGTGGTTTGAATTCCTAGCGCCGTGTAACAAAGTGAGCTCCCGTTACTTGTCCCAGCTTCTGCAGTTCAAAAGCATGTAAAAATGCAAGTAGAAAAAATAGGAACTACCTTTGGTGGAAAGGTAACAGTGTTCCGTGCCCCTTCAGCGTTTAGTCATGCCAGCCACATGACCACGGAGACCTCTTTGGACAGTGCTTGCTCTTCAGCTTTGAAACGGAGATGAGCACTGCCACTTACGTTGGGAACAACTAGCACATATGTGCGAGGGGAACCTTTACCTTTACCTAAGTATCTCTATTTTTTAATAAGAATCAATTATTCAAGCCCGTGTTTTCTTTAACCAAAGTGGTATGTGACATTTAATTCTTTTTTTAACAGATGGTTTTGCTACTGAACGCATTAAGGTATAAGCAGTGTTCCAGTGTAAAAATAAAGGAATGCAATAGTAATTCAGGCTAAATTTTGATTCTAAGTGGGATCTTTTGAACCACTTCTGCTGTGGTCATCTACTTACCACTGTCTGCCGGTTCACCTGAATCACTTCGTCACCAGCATGGATTTTCTGAGACCGATCAGCAGGAGACTACATAGTATAAAAACAAAGAGAACAAACATTTCCAATTTAAAAACCTTCAAATGGTACACAACCTTTGGCAGAAAAACTATATAAATGGAAATGTCTGCAGTGTTTCTGTATGAGCTACAGCTCCAAAGGCAGGCCCCCTACAATTTACTAGTCATTAAATAACTAGCCAATTGTTAAAACCCAAAAAGGACTTTTCTTACACTGAAACAAAAGCTAGCAATTGAAAAGGGGGGGAGGGAGTTCATTTCAATCTGCAGAATTATTTTCTACTTCTCTAATGACACCTGAAATTTAATTATGCATCCCTAACTGAGGGAAAAGCCACTTGATTCCTGACAATATTCAACCTGAAAGAGAGAATTAAAAACTTTAATTTTTAATTCAGAGTTCAGAGATCCTAGGAAAAGAGGTGAATTGTTTCATTCTCTATTAGCAGGCAGCTTTGGAGTCAATCAACATATCATGTTGATGGAAAATATTTTTTGCTGAAGAAACAAGAGGAAAATTATTCCAGAATTCCTTTATGTGCCTTTAAGGTCTGCGGCAGAGACTCCATCAGAGTGTGGGAAGAAGAGCAGAAAGTTGTGCTCTGCTGGCAAAGTTAGTAAGACAATTAGGAGAATTTTTGCTCCGTTCTACACTACAAGGGACACAAAGGGACGTGGTGGCTCAGGGACTAAGATTCTGAGCTTATTGATCAGAAAGGTCGGCAGTTCAGCAGTTAGAATCCCTAGTGCCGTATAACGGGGTGAGCTGTTACTTGTCCCAGCTTCTGCCAACCTAGCAGTTTGAAAGCATGTAAAAATGCAAGTAGAAAAATAGGAACTACCTTTGGTAGGAAGGTAACAGCACTGCATACGCCTTTGGCGTTTAGACATGCCAGCCACATGACCACAGAAAAGTCTTCACACAGTGCTGGCTCTTTGGCTTAGAAACGGATATGAGCATCGCCCCCTAGAGTCGGAAATGACATGTGCAGGGGAACCTTTACCTTACACTACAAGGAAAGGAATTCTGCAGACTTTGTTTGAAATGGCTCTGCAGCTGCAAATCTGTTCCAGTGATTCTCTGACAGATCTCATCATAGAGAAAGAAAAAAAGTTCCTGAATTGACCTGTGTGACTCAAATCAGCTGAAACCAATGGCTCATTTCCCCGTTCCCTTATCAGGTGCAATGCAGGGAAAGAAAAATTCCCTTAGGGCCATCTGAGATGGAAAATCTTATTAGGAAAGAAATCCCCACCGTCATCGGACTGAACTAAGGCATTCTTTTCTTGCACATCAGCATTAAGAGGCAAAACTATACATGTTGCATCCTTTCATAAATGGAAGCTCTGGCGAAAGAGAGGAGAGACATTGGGAAACATACAGACTCCAAGATAACTTCCTTTTAGTAACAACACTCCTTTCAGGGACCTAGCCGATCTCCCTCTAAACAGACAACTGTAGACATTGCGTATCCAAAACACATTCTTTCTTAATTGAGAATTAATTTGTTAATAAACAAGAGGGGGGGTGGTTTGAAGCCCAATCAGCTTTCATCACTAGGATTTGGAAAGTGACTGGAAAGTTTTGTTTGGGTCAAAACATTCCCATCAAAAGCAGGAAATCAAAAGTCATTTAAAACAACTTGGAAATCCTGTCACCTGACAGGAATTGGACACATCTCTCCATGGCACTAAGAGCTGCTATGTCAGAGATGCAGCTGGATAGATACCAAATGACAGGAAGCCAACAGAGGCAAGACGCTGTTCATTATACTGGTACAAAGAAGAGAAAGGACGCTTATCTTAGCAACATGATTTCTCAGCAGAGATCTGGAAACCCAAGAAAAGAAGGTTACATGCTTGTGAACGCCAACTAAGGTTCCTAGCACTGAGTTCGTTCAAACAGAAAACATAACAGTCAATCTAAAAGGCCAGTTTGGCATGGTTAGGAGAAAGATTTGAACACATCCATTGCTTAGGTGTTTTATATGTTTGGGATAGGAGGCAAAAGAATATTCTCAAATGACCAAAGGCCACACTGGCTGGGGAGAATGGGAATTGTCATCCAGTTCTATATCTGCAGGTCAATGGGACAGGACAGGGTAGAGAAGAGAATCGTTATCTTTCTATTAAGGCAAAAATGAAACTGGAGCTCATAATTAGTTTTCCCACGCATTAATTAAATCTCCATGGCTTTTCCTTTTCAATTCTAGAGATGCTATGCATTTAAATATCTCTCTCTCTCTCTCGCTCTCTCTCTCTCTCTCGCTCTCTTATTTTAATAAGTTCCTTTGATTCCCAGGAAGCATATGGACTCTTCCATGCCCGGTCTAAATATCCTGCTGGTGTTTTCGGAAGGAAGAGAGTGCACTACATGAGCATGTATTTGCTGAGCCTGCATTTTCAGTCTAAGCATTTTGCTCATTCTGGGAATTCCAGTTGTACAACCCCAAGTAGCATTTAGAAAGACTTTTACTGATTTGCATACAGCAAACTGAACTAAAGGGTGGATATAGAACAGATAGTCAGTCATGCACATGCTAAATTACTGCTGCCAGCAATAAGATAATGATAACACTATGAAATCAAAATAAATGAAAATATAACAAGTATTTGCTTTCTATCCCATTTTTTGCCACTTTTGGTAGAAGAAATGGCAAACTGAAAACAGTGGAGCTTTGATGACTATAATGGACTGCAATGTTCCAACAAATGGACATGCTCTTCAGGATTCTGGACTAGGAGAGAATTTGGAATTGTCCACAAGTACTCCAGGTGATGGTACCCTGTTTCCCTGAAAATAAGACCTAACCGGAAAATAAGTCCTAGTATGATTTTTCAGGCTTTTAATATAAGCCCTGCCCCTCCCCCCAATTAGCCCCAGTTAAGATTGGCAGCCAGATGGGTGCATTTAGTGTCGTATTTTCCCCAAATTAAGATCTAACCAGAAAATAAGCCCTAATACATCTTTTGGAACAAAAATTATTAAGACCCAATGTTATGTTTGGGAAAACACGGTAGTCTCCAGCAGTTTTAGAAGTCCAGATGAGGGATCCCAACCTTTGCCCAAACTGTGATTTTGTGTCTTTATGTACATAGGGTTCAAATACTTCCTTTCTTAACCAAGTTTGGAAATGGCTGGTTAACTGCTTTTCAGATTTTATCAACCTTCAAATGGCAAGATTTGCTATACCAAATGAGTTTCCTATAAATACAAATTTAAGGACTGCATTTGGAAGATGATATGGAAGAGGAACACATTTCAAAGGATAGGATTGAGACTGATCTGAAAGTGGATTTTAAAATGACTAAGGGCTGTAGAAATGATGTAAGGACACTGGATATACAAATGAAACTTCCTGATAGCTTAGCAGACTAGCTTGACAACTCTTTGGTCAAGAATCAGTTCACCCTATGTATGTGTCCTGAGATGGGCACTCCAGGTCTCTAACTCCTGTGAGTCCAAAGACAACCCCTCTATACCTTACTCCCTGAAGTACAAGGGGCTCCAGCTTTACTTGTACTCCACAATGCAGTTAAAACCATCCTGTTCAGATGGACTCTTGGTAGAGCTATATTGTTAGTTGGACTGGACTATATTGGTAGTTGTTTAGTTGTTTAAAATAATGACCTGGATAACTTTTCTTAGGCCAGATTTACAAGAGACCTATTAAAGGTTTTTTTTTTTAATTTGTTAAAATGGGACAAGGAAAAAATGAAAAGAAATCAACCTCTAGGACATTTCTGAGGGGATTAAGAATCAAGAGTGTTAAAAATAAAGGTAAGAAATATAAAAATATCAAGTAAAATAAAATGAATATGAAGTTAGTTTATTGAACCAAGATTAAAATAGATATGCTGTTATCTCTGGTAATCCTTAATGGACTTTTGCTGACCAGGACTGAATGTCAAGGTTTTAAAGATTTATGTATAAAGAGATGGAATATGGGGAAAAGAGAAGGTGATAAATTACTAAAATTGTTTATATATGTTATGAAGGAAAAAGTTTTTCTTTATATATTCCATTTTTTAATTTCTTTTCTATACTTTTTCTTTTCTGCACTTTCTTTTTCCAGTTTCTATTAGTTCTTATCTTTTTAATTATAACGTTTAATAAAACTACTACTTTAAAAAAATGTTTTGCTTTTGGTTCAACTTTATCACAAACAGTTAATGTTAATTTCCCTTTGATGTAGTCATTAAGAATACTTACATTTTCTGTTGTCCCAGTTACAACATGTAAACCATCATAAGTAGATTTTATGTACATTCCCTAAATTGAGAAATAGAAAGATAAAATAAGCATAAGAATAATAACAGCACATCCACAGTTATACCTCAAATGCTTTTCAGACAATTATTTCTGAGGAACAGTGTGGCTGATAATACCACGCTGGAGCCTGCCCCAAACCAGCCCTGTTGAATTGTGTAAACAGAGTATAGCCTCCTTTTGGAGAAAAAAAGGAAAATAAAACCTGCTCACCTACGGAGGTCAGAATCTAAACAAAAACTACTTAACACCAAGACCCTCCAAATCAATCATGGAGCAAAGTGATCTCAATTTATTTCTTAGGAGAACATCACAAACAGAAAATTCTTGAATGGCTCAAGGGAACAACTGTTTATTTTGATCTTTAACATGGGGAATAAAAAGGAATATTTACGTTTAGTCAAGGTGGCTTGATGTTCTGTTTATCTATTTTTCACATTTTTGAATCACCCATCTCCCTTAGTGTCCTTCATGTTATTTTAGGATGGTATTGTTTTACTGAATCTGTGCTGGCAGTACTTACTCCTACTTTTGTTATTATTGATTGGAATTGGGCGGCCTTAGGTAATCTAATGAATAAACAAGCATAAAATGATTTATCTGTATATAAAAGTTGACAAATTTTGATTTATTGTAGCATACTATATGCATTGCTTGTCATGCTCATTTTGAATTGTATAATTGAAGCAGTATATAAGCATATGTGATGAATAAATAAAATAAATATACAAGGGTAATTTTCCCCCATATTATGTATTCCCCCATCTCGGTATTGAGATGAGGGACACAAAATGAGTGTGGGTCTCGTGGGAATGGCTGAAAATCTTTAGTCTGAATATAGCCTAGAAAACTCTTCAAAATGTATATATACGTGCTGGTTGTCAAATGTAGCTTTTTAAGATGTTTTCTAAGCTAGAGCATAGATCACCAAGAGGTTTGCAATATTTCAAATGTTCCTCTAAAACAAATCAATTTCAATATAATGAAACGTTAATATTAATAACACAATCCTCTCTTGATATCCACATTTTTAGCAATGACAAATCTTAATGGGACTCCATAATGACGTTTCAGAGCCAATACAAAGAACCCTGTTTTTAAGTGTTTCTCTGTTCTCTTTTATATAGTAGAATACTTCATGTGGGAATTCCTTATTGGAAAAAAAATTAAAGTCCTGGACATGAAGAATTACAACTTTTATATTTCAGTTTGCAATGTAAACTAATTATTCAAACTAATTAAGAGGGCACTTAGGTTTAGGTTTATGGTTTATTAGATTTATATGCCGCCCTTCTCCCAAGGACTCAGGGTGGCGTACAACATTAAAAGAAATACATAATACAAAAGTTTAAAAAAATTAAATAGAATAATCCAAACAAACCCAATAGGAATTGACAATAACATTTTTTTTAAAAATTTCGAATTAAAATTAACAATGACCAATAATTTATTTTGTTTTGTTCAGGCCAGGCTGGCTTGCTGGAAAAGCCAACCTTTTAGGGCGCGTCGGAAGAATTGGAGGTCGGGGATTATACGAAGCTCCGGGGCCAGCTCATTCCAGAGGGAAGGCGCTCCCACAGAGAAGGTTCTCCCCCTGGTGTTCGCTAGCCGACACTGTCTGGCTGACGGCACCCTGCGGAGGCCAACTCTGTGGGATCGCACTGGACGATGGGAGGCTACTGGTGGCAGTAGGTGGTCTCACAGGTACCCTGGGCCTAAGCCTTGCGCTCTTAGCCAAAATACTGTCATAAATAGGAATGTCCACAGGTCTGTCTTTGTTTGTTTGTATGTATGTATGTAAGAGGCAAACAGTGAAGAGAAATGTCAAGATGATGACCCACTCCTTTTTATATGTGCATACATGCTGTGGACAAGATACATATTAAAAAAGGGAAGGATTTCAATTATGCAATTATAGCCTCCATCTTGACTTTCTTTTTACCCTTCCTGCTTTGAGAAAATAGACTTTGTTATTTTAAATAAATTTAAAGTAGTAGCTGGGAGCAATTTAGAAGAGCAAGAAAATGCAAATATTCTTACCAAGCCTTCCCCAGGTTTGATATTGTTTAAATGAACTTCTTCGAGACAGGCACCCTGACTTATCAGTGGATCAGTTGTTGACCTGATTGTCTTGTCACAGATTCCATTCAAAACCTTTGACTAGAAAAAAGAAGAAGAACATGCTTTATACATTATTTCAGGAGGTGGAGTGCTGGTCTCATGCACAGCCCCTCCAACAAAGAAAATAACAACCTAAATTAAGAATAGCTAGTTCCAGAGTCATAGGATACATCATTCTGCTCAAAATTAACTTTCATTAATTTCATTGGTAACAAAGCTGTGGTACTTTATTTCAAACTAAAAATTCTACAGCCATAATATAAAGTCATTTTTTAAATTTTGGACACATACAATCCAAGATGGCTATAACTGTTTATCATCCACAAACCTGGAAAATAGTAAATAATATTTACTGGCAATCCTCTGGGACAAATGATAACATATAGGCTGAGTCCAATTAACCTGAAAACCATGAATTAACCAGGAGATTTTCCTCTCCCGTATCTAAGTCAGCTTTCCATTCCCTATGCCCAATCAGATGTACTACAAATGTCCAATCAGGGCGGACAACAGCTAGGAATTACTAGATTTACAATCTCATCTCATATGGAGAAAATCAAGTTAGAGGAGAACATTTTCCAGAAGTTTGGTCACCAACATTAACCAAAAACCTGACTTTATAAAGAAAAAAAGTTAGTCTAATTATCTTAGTGGTTATTAAATTATAGAATTTATGTCCTAAAATACACCAGAAAATCCAGTATTAATCATTTAATATGCATTTAAATAAAATTTAAATGTATTTCTGTTTGAGTTGGCAATGTTACTGTTTAGGTTTTAACCTTTATAGTATTTACTTATTTCAAAAATAATGAGATTAGTTGCCTTGGATTCCCAAATATGGATGCATATTTCAAATGAAAAGAACATTTTATTGCCTTGTTTGGAATCCCAAACTTTTGGCTCGGAGATGCAAATTTAACAATACCGCGGGGGAGGGAGGGATCAAAATTAGATCAAACTGAAGCTGGCCAAGGCGAAGCGGATTTTAGAAAGGCATTGAAGAACAAAGTCTTCCCATTGTGGATTTTTGCTATTGTGATCCCTGCTTCTGAGTTGACTCAGCAGAATATTTACAGCATGAAATGGAGAAAAAAAGTCAAACTTCCTCATCCACCAAATGCATAGTATACAATATATATATATATATAACCACACATCAAGATCATAGGGAAAATCTCTTCTCTTCCCTACACTGTACATATACTGAATGGCTAAGTCTCTTTCCTCTAAACACATCCCTTTCCTTCTAAACTAAAAAGCTCCTCCAAAGTAATTTGAGGGAATATTAACAGTCATAGCATGCTCAATTGAGGATCTAAGGAGAATTTTCCTCCTGTCAAATAATAAGGAAAAAGAGCCATGGTGGTGATGTGGTGGTTATAAAGTAGTACTGCAGGCTAACTCTGCTGACTGCTACCAGTTCGATTCTCACCGGCTCAAGGTTGACTCAACCTCTTATCCTTCCGAAGTCAGTAAAATGACGACCCAGAATGTTGAGGGCAATATGCTGACTCTGTAAACTGCTTCGAGACAGCTGTAAAGCATTATGGAGTGGTATATATATCTAAGAGCTATTGCTAGCCAAGAGCATTGAAACCTGAAGGCAGCAGCAAACAGGGAAGTGAAAAGATGTTCGACACAATTGTAGAAGGCACAGGAAGGAAAGACCAAGAGACAGTCTTCTCAAAAGAATGCATCTTTGCACCGTCAACATCTACAATGTTATCACTGAATGATAAACACTCAGAATTGTTTCCACATCATCTCACATTTTAAAAGGATGCAATGGTTATATATCATGAGGCAAAACAGGATAAAATCATTAGAATGAGGCTGCAATTATTCAATGGGCTCGCAAACAAAATGTCACTCAAGAAAACTAGAGGGAAAGCATCAGAAGATAGGTTCAGGTTTGGATGTTGGACCGTGTCTCAGAATCTATGTGCACAGGTACACAATTGTATGCAGGAATGTTTACGGTCAAATCATTTGAAAATTGAAAAAAATAAAATATTGCCAGTCATAAAAGGCATATTGTAACAGTGAAGGAAGAAAACAAACTTCAAAGATCTAGGTGAAACATTATTTCAGTAAATCAAGGAATCATCAAGAAGAAGAATAAGCTTTGAGAGCTGCTGAAGTCAGTTTATAAATATAAATATCCCCAAAATTAAAGAAAAGATACTCCTATAACAAATGAATGCAATTACCCTACATGTGCATCTCCACTGTCAGTCAGAATAATGTATTAATCTCAACAATCAAATCAATTGAAATTCTCCAACACTTATCTAATACCTATCCAGCCTTGTACTTCCAGCTTCTCCTTGCTATCAGTGCCCAGTTTTTATCCCTTATTCACCAATATGTATGTATAATTTCAAACCTAACCTTGTATTGTTGCAAGTTCCATCTCCATAAGTGTTGCAAGTTCCACCATAATTTATTAGAGGAAAAGCAATTATCTGTGTCTTGCATCTAATACAAACAATTATAGCCTCAGTAATATTTACTCCTGGTACCTACTATTGCAAAAGCTAGGAACACTGTATACAAATGTTGTTGGAATTTGACTAATAAATTGACTCTTACCTACTATTTTGGAGAATTGCCCCAAAGCCAATACCTATCACAGCATTTCCCTTATGGGGAATGTTACTACCGATCAGGGTGAATAAAAATCGATGATATATATCTGCTGTATATTCTGCAATATTTAAATTTTTGGTAAACTCATTCAATGAATCCAAGTTCTGCAAGATGAGATAACGTGCACTGCATTGATGCATTCACACAATTTCACAGTAACCATGAGATAAATCATAAAACATAAATCATAAAATAAAGTTCAGGAATATTCCTTTATCCCATTGTTTTGCAAACTTATGTACACTACAAACTGTATGATTGTTAGAAGAGAAATGCATTTGTACCACCAGGCTCTAAATGTAAGGAGGAAGACCAAGCAGTAAAAATTAAAGTGAAACCTTCTAAACAGGTTATAAATGTAATATTAAAGAGCACCTGTCATTTCCGATCCATCATGGCAGCCGGCATCCACTCACCTTCTGCCTGCCACATCCCTCACCTTATTGTGTCACTGCCGCATCACCAGCCGTCCCATTAAAGTGAATGGGACTGTCAGTGAGTCAACAGCAGATCAGAGAAGGAGCCTCTGCAGGACAAAAATGACAGCTGCTCTTTAAAAAAATTGATTTAAATCGAGTTGATTCAAATCAAATCCACTCTGCTACCAATATAGGAAGAGTGTCAGGAACACCTCTCAAGCTCCAACCCAACACACAGTATGACACTAATTAAACAATCATGGCTACTAGACCAGAAAGGGATATGGGGCAGTGAAAAGGAGCCAGTGATCTGGATAGGCATGCTTTGTAAGCTATAAGCTTCTCATGTTTTTAGAACACAGTTGTTGAAAGCAATTACACTTACACACACACCAAACAATGTTACTATAAAAAGTAAGAGTATTGAACGAACCATAATGCATAAATAGAAGGGCGTTTGGATTTTTTTTTTACGGAGGGTAATCAACAATTGTTCTGTTTTGAATGGAGGTGTGAGTATTTTTAGATGCTGTGAATTCCTCCCCATCTCACTGGCAGGCGGAAGGCCTTATCAAAGAACACAGCCCGATTCATGTCAAAAGGAGGAAGCAACGATTAACCATTACAAAATATTGAACGCAGGTCACTGCATCCCTATTCCAGTCACAAGGCTGCCTCAAACGTATTTGGAAAAATCTCCTTTCACATCACTTCTGATTCAAAAGAGTGTTTTTTCTACTGTTGTAATGTATTGTCAAGGGACGCGATGACTCAGTGGCTAAGACGCTGAGCATGTCGATCAGAAAGGTCAGCAGTTTGGCGTTTCGAATCCCAAGCACCACATAACGGAGTGAGCTCCCATTCCTTGTCCCAGCTTCTGCCAACTTAGCAGTTCCAAAGCATGTAAAAATGCAAGTAGAAAAATAGGAACCACCTTTGGTGGGAAGGTAACTGCGTTCTCTGCACCTTTGGCGTTTAATCATGACCACGGAGACGTCTTTGGCAGTGCTGGCTCTTTGGCTTTGAAACGGAGATGAGAATCGCCCCCTAGAGTCGGGAACGAGTAGCACATATGTGCGAGGGGAACCTTTACCTTTTTTGTTGTGTGTTCCCCTTAAAGTTCTGTCCCCAGAACAGTGAGCTCTGAGCTCTGTTGAAGCCTTCCTACGTCCATTGGAGGCCTCAAAACAGATTGTCACACTATTCCATCTGTCAGCACCCTTTTGCTCCAGCAATTGTGACTAAAGCAAGGCAGTGACTAAAAGAAAAAAGAACAGAATTCCTTTCCACCTATTTTACATTAATAATACTATTCATTGGGATTTATAGGCCACTGAGGTCCAGTGAGACTCTGAATGTGTACGTTTAAAACAATAAAGCCACATAACAAAAGAGTCACAGCAGGAAAAAGTACTACAAAGACAACTATGGCTATTGAAGGAACCATAAGTAAGCATCCATACAACCTAGGCTGGAGGTCCCCAACTTACAAGAGATCCATGGTTCTATTAAAGAGCCAGGTTTGACAGCTCTCCTAAAACTCAGCAGGGTTGAGTAGATCGAAGGAAGGGCAGAAACAATGCAACTGGACAAGAATCTTTCATTTGCTTTCTCTGTGGGTCACATTACAAGCAGCTCCCATTGTTTTCCATTTCCTGTCCTGAAATTTCTCTGCTCACACAGAAAAGGAATATAAACTCCCCATTTGATGGGCCAATATCCTTCGTATTCAACCTCGGTATATTTAGTCATGAGTCTTGCAATGATGGGATAGGAGTCTATATGCATTTCTTTGAGAAACAAAAAATGCTATCAACTGAGCTGGAATCCAGAATAATGAACAGACTTGTATTTGCATTTCAGGGCAGATGAAAACCAAACTGAATCAGCAGCAGAAAGAATGTAGGAAAAATGCTCCCTACATTGAATGGAGCCTCTACTTTGTCCCATTTTTAGCCTTCAACTAAGCAAGCTACATATCAAAACAGGGCTTTTGGATCATCCAAAAATAGTTTGGACTTTCTCATTTTAGGCGATTAGATAAGCCTGGAAACTATGCAATAAGGAGCCATAGATGCCTGTTGTTCCTATTGAGCTTTGTAATAAGTAAAGCTGCTTTCAATCATAAAAAAGTCCTTAACAGAAAGGAATTTGAAAAATGAATTGAACATAAACATTTATACTTACTACATTGAGAACTTTATCTTCCATTTCAGCTACGAGGCAGTCCTTTAAAAAGAAAAGAACATATTCTATTACTGGAAAATCCTTATATAGCATCAAACTGTAATTTTGACTTGACAGTCAGTAAAATATGTCTGGAGCATAGAGAACAATGCAGAAGGGTGTTGTTTTTTACAATGATCCAAAAATCTAATTCTCTGCGAAGCTTCAGCAAGAATCTTTACTGTTGGTTTTAAAATGTTTTTATAAGCCGTTTAATCAAAGCCTCACATAAAATAAAATAGATGGTTAAAGGAAGCATAAAGTTAAACCATTCGTTCCTCAATAGACTGGCAGCTTAAAATCAACATTGATTTTAAGATGTGTGGCCTTCAACTCCCAGAATTCCTCCGACAACATGCTGGAAGTCCAGACATCTTTAAATTGACACGGGTAAGAAACAGTGCTTAAAGAAAAGGGAAGCATCAATAAAGGAGGATACTTAAAAAATGAGGGTTGAAATGAGTGGTCCTTAATGGTCTCTGAGCTTGGTTGTTTTCTTGCAGATGTTCCATAACCCAAATTAGGTAACATTCCAGGGTTTCAGAGGCAAGTATTTCCCAATCCTAACCAGAGATGCTAAGGAACAATCCAGGACAAAGGAACAAGGCACTCAATCTATCATGCAAGGTATGTGTCTGCAACTACAATAGAGCCTGTACATCTTCTGAACACACAATATAAAAAAGTAATGTAAAACACAATGATTTGCATCTAAATAAGGGCCTCTTATGTGCAAATCCTCCATCCACCAGCTTAAAAATATTGGACAGCAGCTTGACTGTCAAATCAATCGCACTAAATTGAGAAAGTTTGATCAAAAAGATTTGCTAGTTGAAGGACACAGGGAAGTAGTGGGAAAGAAGCAAATGGGAGGAAGGCCTATTTGTTATGTAGATTTCCAGCTAAAGTTGGAAGTTTGCATCTTCCAACATCTTTCATCCAGCAGTGCTATTATCTTCACCTGCTCTACTATAACTCCAAAAATGTGATTCACAATGTATTCTCATAGAAAGGTGTTTGGCTTTGCAAATATTACCTGCAAAGACTCTGGGATGAAAGGACTACATCCAGCAGAGTGTGAAAATATACAAGCATGTCTATTTTGCCATTCTGGCTCAGACAGTTTCTTAAAAGAAGAAAGTGTCTGTAATCTTCTAATTCTTCATTGCTCCTGTTGAATATATGATGCCTTGTAAGCACCTCAATAGGTTACAGCTTAAAATAATTTATCTTGATCCAAGCAAGAAGAAGAAATGACCATGCCATTACTGGGAAAAGAAAAGACCCTAAAATGTGCAGTTCTGTAAAGATGGCTTCAGCTGAAGATAACTATAATCACACCTATATTTAGAGCATAATATTTTTAATCCTGTGTGTGATTACTGTAGAAAGTGACAATAAAGGCAAGAGTGGCTAGAGAAAAAACAAATATTAGCTATTGTTGTCCACAAGCCCTACACATCCAGAGACAGGTTTTTAGACCCAGCCGCGAATTAAAATATTTATTGGATCTTTCAGCTGTTATGTTTAGTCTGACTCTAAACTGTTTCTACATTTGAATGCATCACTTACCATGTTTCCCTGAAAATAACACAGGGTCTTATTATTTTTTTATTCCCAAAATAAGCGCTTGGTCTTATTTTCGGGGAGGTCTTATTATTTTTGAGGTGCAGGAGGTGGCGAGCATGGTCATCTCATGGCTGCTGCTCTGTTGCAATATTTCTTTGGGGGAGGGCTTATTTTAGCACATGCTCTCAAAAGCCCGATTGGGCTTATTATCTGGGGAAGTCTTATTTTGGGGGAAACAGGGTATTTCTTTCTGTCTTTCTTTTTGGATCAATATACAGGTAGTCCTCAACAACAACAACCAACAACCCCAGGTTTCTGTTGACAAACAATGCAGTTGTTATGTGGGTTTAGCCCCGTTTTATGACCTTTCTTGCCATAATTGTTAAGTGAATCATTACAGTTGTTAAGTTAGCAACACAGCTGTTAAATAAATCTGGCTTTCCAATGACTTTGCTTGTCAGAAGATCGCAAAAGGGGATCACATGGCCCTGGGACACTGGAACGGTCGTAAATACATGCCAGTTGCCAAGCGACCGAATTTTTATCATGTGATCAAGAGGATGCTGCAACGGTTGTTACGTGTGAAAAGCATCATCAGTTATGTTTTTTCAGTGATTTCGTAACTTCAAATTGACACTAAGTACTGTAAATGGTTGTAAGTCAAGGACCTTTTTTATTCCAGTTCTTGCTTCCTTTTGTGTATTTATCTCTCTTTTGGTTTTATAGATGCCACAACTACAAGTTGCTACTAGCAAAAATGAGCTGCTATGTATAAATTAATCAGGGTTGTAACTGCCTTGCTTTATGGCATGCCTTCTACTGTTCTGGCCTTAAAAAAAAGAGGTATTACCAGTAAAAACCTTGAGAAAATTATATGTTAAGGCCTTATGTTTTTATAGATTCTAACAGTGGTGGTTTATTAGCAACAAACAGCTGCTACAAAGGTACTGTTAGAATTAAAAATCTAATAATGAACTTCCTAAGTAACTAATTTAATAAAAATTTAATTTAAAAAAATCCTTGTTAAAGTAATAGTATTAGCAACAACAACAGTTTAAACCAAAGCTGCTTGATCTGATCATACAAAATCCAAATCTCACATGCATCACTAAGCTGCTCATAAAATTATATTACAATTATTTCTGTACATCTACTGTTCTGCATTCCTTTGGGACCTTTAGGAAGAATAACAGCAGAGAAAGAGAACAGACATACACACTCTTAACTGACCTTCTGAACAGTGGTGGTAAGATCCAAACACAGCTGAATGATTTTATTCTTTGTCACAGAAAAGTCAGCTATCCCAGTAAACGGAGTCCTGTGGTAAGACAAGAATGTGCCATTAAGGAAAGAAGAGGCCACACAACAACAGTCATTACTGGAAGCTTACTTTGTATGACAGTGTTGCTATTTGTTGATTAACAGTGTCATCATGTCATTTTTCATGGCTATTTACAATAAGTTACAATGAGAGTTTCAACTCGGGATTTGCTGAGAATATCTATGTCTGGGGAAAGGCAAAGTCAGTTTTACTTTAGTTTTCCAACTAAGGTATCTTTTGTGCAGAAAAGTTCAAAAGAAACAAAAGGACACAAGTTCTAACTCTAATTCTTTCCCCTAACTTCCATATTTGTGGAGTTGCTCACTGGCAGGAATACACTCCTCTTGACTTCATTTCCAAAGCCTACATTAAAGGTTAAAGATGACTTTCCTTATGCCATTGCAAGGTCAAGAGACCAACCTTCATACAGGTACTGGTAGTCCTCAACCTATGCCCATAATTAACCCCCAAATTTCTGCTGCTAAGCAAGACAGAGGTTAAATGACTTTTGCCCCATTTTACAATCTTTCTTGTTTATTAAGTGAATCACTGCAATTGTTAAGTTAGTAACCCAGTTGTTAAATAAATCTGGTTTCTCCATTGACTTTGCTTGTCAGAAGGTAGCAAAAAATTATCACATGACCCCGGGACACTGCAACCATCATAAATATGAACCAGTTGCCAAGCATCTGAATTTTGATCACATGATTATGAGGATGCTGCAATGGTTGTGTGAAAAATGATCCTAAGTAAACTTTTTTCAGTGCTATTGTAACTTCAAATGGTCACTAAGTGAATGGTTGTAAGTCGAGGACTATCTGAATTATGTGTGATGGAAGAAAATGGAACTACTTCTAGTAATATGCTACACAGGTCAGTGAAACCCTGATCAAAATTTATGAGGCAAGACAAGGAATTTCCATAGATGAATAGGGAAAAACAAAAATAGAAGCAATTGTTCTAAGTATGTAATTACTCTCTAAAAGCTAAGCTTGTTAAAATGCAAACTTCAGTTCAGATTAACAGTTATTTTCAAAACTAACCTACCACGTAATACCAAGAACATATCGATGCCATCCAGGGGAACAGAAAGGGATTTTCTCACCCTGGTTATAACAAGTTATAACCACAGTCTGTCATAGGGTATTTTGAGAAGCAGAGACCTCTGACTAGTGACAGATCTCCCCATCATCCTTCACCCCAGGAGCTGAATAAAGAGTAGATTTCTTACAAACATAAGCCATTCACATGGATGGTATCTGTCTGATGTTGGAAGCTAAGCAATACTGGACTTTGTTAACAGCTGGATAAGAGACTACAAAGAAATCCCAGGGTTAAAGTTTAAACTAGGAAGGAACTAAAATACAGACTCCACCCCACCCACCAAAAAATAAAAATCCAGAAGAAGAGAAACTATTTCCATATTACTACCTACCGTATTTCTCCCAAAATAAGACCAGCTCTTGTTTTTGTTCCAAAAGACGCATTATAACTTATTTTCCAGTTAGGTCTTATTTTGGGGAAAATACAGTACTAAATGCTTCCATCTGCTGACGATCTTAACTGGGGCTTATTTTAGGGGTAGGGCTTATATTACAAGCATCCTGAAAAAATAATGCTCAGGCTTATTTTCCAGTTGGGTCTTATTTTTGGGGAAATGGGGGGGTATATGGAAATGTTCATGAGGTTACCAACAGTTGAGCCTAAGTTGAAGAAGTCTACCTACAGCATACATCTTGAGTCAGTACTGTCTATTCTGACTGATTATGGCTTTCTGATCTGAGATAAACTCCCACTACAATCTTCCAATGAATTATAGCCTCTTCCCATTTAAATCTTACTTCAGGCCTATCTATGTGTGCCTAAGTTAGTTCACATTGTCTATTGCAATGGCCGTTAGGAAATCAATACACTTGACTGAATAAATCCACCATTCTTAAGAGTAAAACACAAGAATCAAAAAATATTTACTTTGGAGGTAGCCCACTAAAAACAGCTATTATTGTGATACGAACCCAGGTGACAGGATAGTATTTGGAAGGAGTGACACATTTCACAAACCAAATTCCTCTCCATTCTCTGGTCCATATTTATATACACAATTTCCTGATGCCGAACATCTCATTAATGGACTTGTTTATTTAGCACATTTTACCTTCATCAGTTCCAGGTTCAAATGTGGGACCACTTGCTGAAACTGGGAACCCTAAAGAAGTGTTGCCAGTCAGTAAAGACACATACTGAACAACAACAACCTTTGAAAGAATGAAGATTGCGAAGAGGCTGCATTATAGCTTGTTGTACAAAGTTGGATCCATTACAACTCAGTGAAAAAGGAGAAGAAGCTATGTTTACAATAGGCAGCCAATATACATCAAGGAAAGAAAAGAAAAAACAGACAGAAAAATGAGAAAAAGGGAATCCAGCAGAAAATAGTAGCTATTTGTAATACATGTCTGTTTACTCAGTTATAATCTCTTTTTATGGTCATTTCATGGTATCATGACATGGTATATAATATCAGCTCAACTGGATGGCTTAATGGTACAATGAACCTTTGTCCATCAACAAGGGTCCTTGAGCCTACTATAATTGGGAATCTACAAAGTAAGCCAGTAATCTCTCCATTTTTCAGGGTTCCTTAATGTTCTAACAAGTGCTTTCCTGCCAGTAATATATCTGGTATATTTCATTCCTTTCGGTAAGCCAGTGTTTCTCAACCTTGTCGATCATAAGATGCATGGACTTCACCTCCCAGAATTCCCCAAAGAGCATGCTGGAAGTTCTTCAAATTGACACGGGCGAGAAACACTATGTAAAGAGAAGTATCAATAAAGGAGAATATTTGCAGTCTAGGGTTGAAATGAGAGGTCTTCGGTGGTCTCTCAGTTTCGTTGTTTTCCTGCAGATGTTTCATTACACAAACTAGATAACATCATTGATGTGTAGCACTGATGATGTTACATTTGGGTAATGAAATATCTGCAAGAAAACAACCAAGCTCAGAGAGCAGCAAGAAGTTCTCAAAGAGAAGTATTTTCTAATCCCAGATCCAGAGATTATTTGCTCCCAAATTAGGCATTAAAAGCAGCTAAAAATGTTGCTACTGCCATAGCATCATCAATTGCCCCTCACTCCACTTTTCCACCTAGGAACAAATGATTCTGACTGATTTGTGGGAGAAAGTAAACAAAGATGAATGCTTGGCTAGGCTAGAGATGAAAACATCACTTATCTCTTGGCAGCAAAACCAAGGGATACAAATTAATGAACGCCAACATCCACTGCATGTGTTTGGTTCGAAAGTCAATTCTCAGAGCAATTCATGATGAACAGCCCACAGAATTGCAACGTCCTGCATTAAAATGCAAAGTTACTTTTTAAAGATAATATTTGTATTTAATCTCATTCTGAAATAGAATTGGGTTGGAAAACAAAGGCCCTTTCAGAGAGCCAGTCACCTGATTCTTTCATTATCTGCAGGAGAGGTCAAGGCAGAGACAAAATCAGCCTGGGAGGTAGCGATGTTACATGAGCTGCCTTTCATCCTGCATAAACATCTATCTCTTTAGAAATCCAGGGGAAACTATTGTACCAGTTTAGATGGGGGCTGGGCCAGTCAGAGGTGTTTACCAATTCTCTGAACTACTCAAAATTTCCACTATAGGTTCTCCAGCACTGGTCAGAACCTGCCAAATACCACCTCTGCTATAAAGTTCACATAGGATCTGGTGCAGGAGGTTTTTCTCTCAGCAGCATAAATTGCTTCAGAAGGCTCTTGAAGGGACATAATGATATGAGCAAAGTTTAGATTTGAAGCAATCAAACTGCTAAGGGTTAGGACTGTGTCCCTTGCTATAGCTTTTTTTGCAGTTCCTTAAAGGAGTCATAACCTTTCCTGGACTGGTAAGGTTTGGGCTCCAGAAAATGTTTAAGAATATTCCTGAATTGAATTATTTTCCTAAGTTTGCACAGCTGCTTATTGAAGAAAAAGAAGCCGTTCCTTGAAGGAATAGCCAACAGGTATAGTAAGAGAGCTGATGCCAGATCTGAAATACCACTGGCTGCTTCACCTCCAAATATTGCACACTACTGCAATGTGCTGAATGTTAACTCTTTTGTTCTTGTTTGGTTTTGTCTAGCCCAGGGTTCAGCAAACTGCGACTCTGGAGCCGCATGTGACTCTTTCCTCCCTCTGCTGCGTCTCCGTCACTGGTCGGCGCCACAATTTTGAGAGGAGCTTCCGGGGGGGGGGGGAGAAGAGAAGCACGGTACGCCAGGAGAAGACTCTAAGGCAAGGGTTTTCCAGTTGTGTCCACAATTAATAGGGCTTTCGGTTATGATAGATAGAGGAAAAAGTA